TTCTTCAGAGATTTCGGGAGACTTGAAAGGAACTTCTTTCGGTGTGCAATGGTCTCCATAAGGCTTTTCTTGTGTTGCTCCAGTTTCTCATGAAGTTTGCAGAGTTATTTTCGCCGGAAAAGCTCAAAATTAAGTCGCCTTAGCATCAAGTCATGTGCACTGTCTTTTGATAGTACAGATCCTTTAATATCTTGAGGGGCTGAACTGAAAAACTCCTCCTCAGACACAAGTTCAATATCCGAATACTTTGACTTGAAATCTTTGCACACCTTTATGGCTTTCACAAAATGAATTTTCTCATACATCAAATCGTGGAGCTGAAATGTAGTGAAATCTACTGGTGCCTTAGCACGTTCTGTTTCTGCTTTAACACGATCCTCTTCTAGCAATATAGAACAATTTACCTTATCCCGGTCATTTGTCCGTTGATTCCGAAAAAACTGCTTGCAGCGATACAGCCAGCCTAAGGGGTCTCCGTTGCCGTTGTACGACGGGGATTCCAGCCTGCTGTACTTGGGGATGGCTACGGCTATCGGGGCGACGTCCTGTTGTTCGCCGGATGACTCCGTCAAGTCTGGTCGGCGGCTGTTTGTGGTTACGACCCCTTCTGGATTCCTCTCCTTGTTAGAGAAATACGATTCTAGCAAGCGTCGCAGCTCCCGGACATCGTCTTTGACCTCACGAACCTCCACACTGGTTTCCACGAGCCTATGCTCCAGTTCGTGAACCTTGGATGATAGCTGCTCCAGATCTCTCATGACGGTTGGCTCTGATACCAAGTTGTTATGGGCCCGGGCGTAGGATCTCGTCATGGGTCGGTCCACAGGGAAAAGCTCCTGTTTTCCCTTGTTCCTCCCCTTCCTAGCTGAACCTATCTTGGCGTCCTAGAGGGTGATTTGTCCAAGAGATCACCGAACTCTCCTTTTACTCTCTTTCTTGACTGGAAATTTGATATATCCCCATTCAATAATAGGGTCTCCTTAAATAGGAGATTACAAGAGTCCTAATCAAAGGGAGTCTCCTTGCTGAATAGGGAGACTTCCAGTTCTATCTTGCTAAGGATAAGATAAGCTAATCGTAATCTGATAAGCTACTAACAAGATAAGATAAGAGCAATAGAATAAGATAAGAACAAGCAAGATGATCTAATCTAATCTAGATAAGGTTGTTGTTGTCGAACTGGGTAGGATGAGAATCATTGAATCACTGCTGCTACTGGCGGTGGGTCAGGTGCCTGTTGCTGCGGGTGGCGACGGTATGTTTTCCCGAGGAATGCGTCCATAACAAACTTTGTCCAGATTCTATTGTCCGGGCAAGTGAGATCTAGGAAACTAAACTCAATAAAGCAAACAATTCGTCTGCACAAGCCATTTCTGAATCCTTCAACCCTCTACTCATGCCCAAATCCCAAGAACCCCTATACACATAGAAAGAGGAAATAGCCTTGAATTTATTCAAGGAAAGAAAATACATTATTGGGAATCTATCCTTATGGGGAGTGTTCCTAATCCAAATATCCTCCCAAAACAGAATTTTGTTACCAAAGCACACATCAAATCTGATGAAAAGCCGAAAGGTGGGCAAGACTCCAACAATGGCTTTCCATGGGGAGAAGTGAGAAGCCTTAGGATCGACACCAGCATTTCATTCGTTTGTTGCCATCCCATGAATACTTTCCACCACAAAGTGCCACTAACTTTCCTAGGAACTACTTCCCACTTTATTAGATGGTCACTTTTTTGAGTCTCCCGGTTCCCAAAGAAAATATTTCATAAGCTTTTCTATTTGATTCGCAACCTTGATCTGTAATTTGAAGGTAAACACGAAATACACCAAGAGGTTGGCCAAGGTGGATTTGATTAAAGTGATTCTACCCCTAGTGAAATGTAATTTCTCTTCCACCCTGCTAGCCTCTTAATGGATCTTCCCAACACCAAGTACTATAAGTTTTCCAATTTAAGATTTCCCCACAAAGGCAAGCCCAAATAAACCAAGGGCCAACCACTTACCTCACAAACCTAATGGTCCAACCACAGAGAGCACCTCTTCTTCCTGTCTATTTACTCCTGCTACACAACTCTTATTCCAATTGACTTTCAAATTGGAGACTCTCCCAAAGTGTGTCACTAACAATCTCAAGTTATCCATCTCTCTAGTTCCCCTTCACAAAAAAGTATGATACCATCTGCAAACTGTAAGTGAGTGACAATCACTTTTGCCTCCCAACTCTTCAACCTTTCATTAAATTCCTTGAGTCAACCCTGGAAATCAAGACACTCAACACATCCACTACTAAGGAGAAGAGGAAAGGTGACAAAGGGTCTCCTTGTCTAAGGCCCCTCTTAGCAGGAAAGAAATCCCTAGCTACTCCATTTACCAAGATTAAAAAGTGACAAGAAGTAACACAGTCCTTATCTCCCTCCAAAACCTATGTTCCTCAACACTTCTAGCAAGACCCAAACCACCAAATCATTTTTTTATTGGAAACGGTAACTTCATCTATACAACTTAAGCATAACTTTCCAAAGTTAATTAAGTACAGCTATCAACCCCTAAACAGGTGTTGAGCCCCCAGTAATCTTTCTTACAAAACTGCCCAAAACATTCTTTCCCTCATAGTCCCTTGTTTAGTCAATGTGTTAGCTAAACCATTAGCTGATCTCCTTGTCCATTTAAAGCACACAACAATCTCCCTTGTTGTGTTGAGGATTTCCCTTATGGGTTGTCTATAAATCCAGGCTCCCAACTTACCAGATTGTAGCCACTCAATCCAGTCCACCAAATCATATGCCTTTTCTAGATCAAATTTATAAATCAAACCCTTCTCTCCTTTTCTTTTCCTGTAATCCACACACTAATTGAA